CAGGGGATGGGTTGGGGTCCGGGCTCAGGGGATGGGTTGGGGTCCGGGACCCCCTGTATGGGCTCAGGGGATGGGTTGGGGTCCGGGCTCAGGGGATGGGTTGGGGTCCGGGACCCCCTGTATCGGGCTCAGGGGATGGGTTGGGGTCCGGGGTCCCGACCCCTGTGCGGGTGACCCGCGGGGCCGCAGCGCCACCTGGCGGCAGCAGCAGCGCCTGCCCTGCGTCCCTCCTGCCTTGCCGAGCTTCCTCCTGCTCCCTTACCCGAACACTGCGTGCATTGTTGAGAGGCCTCTGAGTCACAGTTACCGGTGAAATATCGTGAAAAATGAGAGAAGTTCCCCCAGAAATGGGAAACTGATTCTGTAGTTCCGTTAAGTTAAAAAACCCTAAACCTAAAGGGGGTAACAGCTAACCATGACAACTTTTTTTACATCAGTCTTTTTTTGTGTATGTTGTTGGGGGTTTTTGTGTGTGTGTGTGGTTTTGTTTTGTTTTTTTTTTTAAGATCAGAAACTGGTGTTTTTTGTAAAGGGCTTCCATAGGAAATAAACAGCCTTGCTTGTTAACATGAATCTCTTGTCTTGCAATGTCATAAGAGATTTGCATGATTTCGAAGGTAATCAGAGTTGGTTTATATCCTATGTTTATGGCTCCTTCAGTATGCTTAAATGATTGTTATCTGGTGTTTGAAATGAAAATACTTGCTGTTACATGGAGGGGATGGAGTTTCTGTCAGAAGAATTAAAACTACTGCTGGTCCCATGAAGTGGTGGTGGAAGGGCCTGTGGGGATCACTGTGCTGGGGCAGTTGTCAGTCACCAGGACCTTTCCCCCAGGGCTGTGCCTTGCTCGGGTGGGTGGTTGGGATTTGGGAAGGTGCAGTTCAGGTCCCAGTGCAGGGGGGATGTGTCTCTGCCCTGGCTGAACCTGTGTGCACTCCCTGAGCTGCAGGCACAGCTCTGAGGCACCGAGGAGGATTTGAGCTGAGGGTGTCCAAAGCCAAGCAGCAGCGTGGCTCTTCTGGGGAGGAAGTTTTTCCTTAATTTCTGTGTCATTTTCTGCTCCGGGAGGGCCTCCTGCAGCCCCGGGTGCCAAGCAGGGTGAGGCCACGCAGCCACAAGGTCACTGTGCAGCTGGGAGAGCCTCCTGCCAAGTCTGGCCAGGTCGTGCTGGGAAAGAGATTGGGACCTGATAAACGGGGGACCCAGCCTGGGAGGGGAGGCACACGAGGAGCAGGGCTGTCCTCCAGTGGTGTCAGCTGCTGCAGAGCTGCTCTGTCACTGCACAGAAGAGCAGAGGGAGGAGGAAGGTAGAGAAGCTGCTCCAGGATAATCCCTTTAATTAGACTTCTTTAGAGCTCCCTGGAAATTGTTTAAAGAGCCTTAAAAATGCAGCTGCTATATACTGAGAAACAAGACTGCCCTCCTGAAATGGAACTGCACAGCTTAGCCTGAATTTTAAATGATGGCTTTGCAAGAGACTGACAGGGTCAAACGTCTCCCCTCCATTTTCTGTAGTGGCTGCGGGAGATGTGACGCTCTGAAGTGACAGCAGGGTCAGCAGTCAGCACTGAAGTGCTTTGTCTGTGTGTTGGTGGCAGCACTGCTCGGTGTCTCTCCAGGTTCTGGCTCATGGTGGTTCACAGGGCCCTGGGCAGTGGAGTGAGACGTGCTGGCCTTCACACCTCCTTTTCCAGCAGTCTGGTCATTGGTTGGGTTATATCCAGGGGTGAAGTGGGGTTCCTTGCCATGTACCATGCCTCTGTGGATTTATGATGGAATTAGCTGGGATAAAGGATTGCTATTCCTTCATTACCTGTCAGTCAAGGATCACGTAAAGAAACTAAAGCACTCGAGTAACGCTTGTAGCCCCATCGATGTGTCTGTGCCCTTTGGGTGAGGAACATGGGGGGTGTTGCTCAAGTTTCCTGTGCCCTGGAAAGCACTGGAGGTTTCTCTGTAAACTTCTTTGATGAAAAAAAATGAATCTTTTAAGGTAGAAAGATTTTTTTTTTTCAAAGTAAAGTAGATACCTTCTTATGTACTTCTGGAATACCCAGAGTAGTGTTCCTCACCAAGGTTTGGTTGTGTTTTCCAGCAATCAGAGAGGATGGCATGCCAGGAGGCAGAAATAAAAGCATTGGACCTGTCCAGGTGAGCATGTCTGGCTGTCTCTCCACGGATCCCTTCAGCTCCTGCCTGTCCTGGGGGGATCTGGCACAGTCCCAGCGTGGTCCCAGCGTGTCAGGTGGCCCCTGGGCAGCCTCACGGCGCCCTGTCCTTTGTGAGCTGCGCAAGGACGTCTCTCCCTCCATGGCTCCCAGTAAATCTCGGGCTGCCTGCTGCAATCCCTTCAGCTGTGGCAAGCGGGGCACCAGTAAATGTCTGTCTGATTGATGGTGCAGCTTGTCCAGAGGTGCCTTGTAAAGCGCGAGGTAATTCAGCACAGCAGCTTGTGCTGCACGCGTGAGAAATGATGGCCATTTCCAGCTCCCTTCTGGAAAAGGGGCCTTTTAAAAGTTTACTGTTGATTTTAACAAAAGAGAAATAACACTGAAAGCATTTTCTGTGAGTCTGAGTGCCTGGGAAAGACCAAACCCAAACCATGAGAAGCCAAACAGCCGCTCTGGCTGCACAGCGAGTGGCTCCGTGGGGAGAGCTACACAGTGCAGCCCTGCCTGGGGTCAGCACCAGGGAGAGCCCACCTCAAGCAACAAAAGTCCTCTTCACTTGCCTCTCTCGACTGCTTTATCAAACCAGTGCCTTCCCCACCTTCTGTTTGTCTTCCCCTCTGCCAGTGCTGAGTGATGTTCCCGATGCACTGGCCTCAATTACTCCCAGGTTTTTCACGGTGTGACAGTGGCTGATTTACAGTGTCCATCTGACATCATCTTTTCACGTGCCCATTCCTGTCTGCTGCCTTACCATCACTTGAAGGCGCTGCAGGAGCTGGGGCTCAGCACAATTAGCTGTAAATAGAGTGTTTTATGTATGTTGTTAAATGCAAAGGAAGGATGTGGTACCAGCCCTGTTGGATGTGACTGAACAGTCAAGGTGTTCACAGGCAGAGAGAGGCTCTACCTTCTGTTCTCAGCTAAAGTAACCATCATGTCTTATATTTGACAGATATCAGAGGAAGAGATTGAGAGAATTATGTCTGGGCAAGAATTTGAGGGAGAGGCAAACATGTCATGGAGCAACAACGGAGACAGTGATCACAGTTCCCCTGGAAATGGAGTTTCTGAGAGCAACCAGCCTTCACCTGTTTCTACGCCATCTTCAAGGTGGGGATGACCCCTGGAAGAATTTGGTATTAGAGGAATCTTGGCTGTCTTTCCCTGAGTGATACTTGAGGTCAATGTAGGGAAAACACACGTGAGTGCATCTTTGTGCAAACTGGGCATATGGCAGGTTCCCACTACCTCTGTGTTTTAACACAGACAGGACTGGATTGAAAAGAACTGAACTGGGAGGTGCTCGTGAGCAGATGAAAAGAAAGGCAATCTTGAGTTAAATTTGAAACGCATCTCAGTTTGTACTGATCATCCTTTCTGCAGATCGTGGGTACTTGATTACCTTTTACTGCTCACTCTGCATAAACTCTTTTTCTGCACCAAGCTTAGATTTTGAAAATATAAGACTCCATTTAGGTTAATAATTGGTGGTGTTAAATCAGTTACTGTGAGTGCAAACCTCCTGATGCAGCAGAATCTCAGACCTGATCCCATCTGCTTTCAGCTGCATCTCAGCCGTGGCCTTGTTTGTGTTCACTGGCTGTGGAAGTACTGTAACGTGCAATCCTAAATTCTGGCCCTGTCAGGAAGCTGGGCTGGAAAGACTGTGCACAGGTGGGCTTCTGCTCTGCTCCCTGAATGGCAGCTCAGCAGCAGCTCCCAGATCTCCATTAACCAGTGCCTGGCTGGGCTCAACATGCAGCCAGCACACGGCTTCTGATCCGCACACTCAGTTATTTCCAGGGCAGGCTTTAAATACAATTTATTTCCTATTCTGTTTGCTTTCCCTGCTTTTGTTAATGTTTCTGACAGAGCTGGATGCAACATTGTAATGAATCAAGTGGAATTTCTGGGGTATATTGAAGAGCTTTTCCTTTTCCAGTAGGTCCGTGGAGCTGAACGGGTTCGCCGCACTCAGGGATCAGTACATCGGCACGCCGGTGTCCACGCACTATCAGTACCTCCCGCACCTTTTTAGCTACTCCGCTCACTCGGCCCTGGTGCCCCCCCAGACGCGCAGCCTGGACCCCCAGTCGCACAGTCTGATCAACCAGCTGGTGTCGGCGGAGGACCTGGAGCCGCTGGGGACGCCGATGCTCATCGAGGACGGGTCAGTGTGGGCGGCGCGGCGCGAGGGGCTGCCCGGGCTGCGTGTTCCTGCTGGCCCTGCTGGGATGGGGGGCCACAGCTGCCCTGGGAGGAGGTGCAGCCATAGTGCAGGCAGCACACCAGACCCCATCCCACAGGTATCCTGTGCCCTTGCCTGGTGCTGGAGCTGGGGTGCACGGACCTGGCACCACGTCACCAGGTGACACCCTGGGCACTGGCACTTGGGCCACTTGAACACAAATTCCCGTGTGTTTGCCTCGTTTTCAAGTACCTCATCAGGTGATGTCATTCAGTGGTTTTAATGGTTTTTACCTTTGTTTTAACTGTGCCTGCAGGTATAAAGTGACTCAGGCAGAGCTGTTTGCGTTGCTGTGTCGCCTGGCAGATGAATTGCTTTTCAGGCAGATTGCTTGGATCAAGAAGCTGCCGTTCTTCTGCGAACTCTCCATCAAGGACTATACCTGCCTGCTCAGCTCTACGTGGCAGGAGCTGATCCTTCTCTCCTCCCTGACTGTTTACAGCAAACAGATCTTTGGTGACCTGGCAGATGTCACCTCCAAGTACTCTCCCTCTGATGACGAGCTGCACAGGTGAGATGTCAGGCTGAGCCCACGGGTAGGACAGGGAGATCTAGAGATGGAGGAACCGTAGGGAGGACAGTGATCAGGTGCTCTGTGACCACCCCTCCTGTCACTTCACCTGCATCTGTTTTCCTTTTCTGTTTTTAGGGAATAGTTGTTCCAGGCCTAGAAAGCACACCAGGGTTAGTCAGTGCTGGATCACAAACTTCCTTCTGCAGGGAAAGGGCCACGGTGCTGCGTGGTGCTCTTTGAATTTTATAGCAATGCTGTTGTCCTCCAGCACAGCCCTACAAAGCACGTTTTTATGAGGAGAGTAAAACTAACCAACACTTTTGGTAACTCTGAGATACAGAAAGAGAATTTATTTAAAAACCCATTGGGTCAGTGGAAAGGCTGTTCACAAAGCTAGTTGTCTGTATTATCAAAGTGTTTATAATTAATTGCTATTTCATTGTTTTGATTACATAAATTTAAAAATGTTGCAACTTAGCTCTTGTTTTTTCCGTGGTACAGACTATCTGATGCTCTGGGGAACTTGCCTGCCATTTATCATTTTGGTCAGGGTGTTGTTTTTTTGGTTTGGATGTTTTGTTTTGTAGTCTTGGTGCCAGACAAATTCTCCTTTTGGTAGAAGAGTCACAATCTCCCAGTATTATGGCAGAATAGGGAGGATTTAGGGAAACTGCTGCCCACTCTGCCTTTAAAACGTGCCTTGCGCGCTCTGCCCTTGCTGGGCTCAGCGATGCTGCCAGAGTGTGTGCTCCTCAGCCATTGCAGTGTCTCACAGTTCTGAGATACCTTTGTGCATCTGCTGTGACAAGCAGAGGCGCTGGTGGGCTGAGACCACAGTGGAGTGGAGAGCTGGCCCCAGGTGTCTCATTTCCTGGGGCAGGTTCCTCCGCGCCGCTGTTCTGCCTGGCCATTCATCGTGCATCTGGTGCTGCTCCTGCGAGGAGCAGTGAGGGTCATAGAAAACCACAATGACACTTGTTCCTGCATTCAGCTGTCCTTTTGTTCCTTCTGTCCTGGTCAGAGCCTCACAGGGGAAGTGTTTCTTTCATTTTGGGTTTGTGATAAATACAAGTGAGGGCTAAGACAGCGAGACAAAGGAGGAATCCTCGCCCTGCAGAAACCGGCGATTCAGAGCTGGTCGCCTCAAAGGTCCTTCAGAGAAGATCTGTGCACGTGGATGAAAATAGGTGTTCTTGGGAGAGGAATGCTTCTGTAGTCTCTTCTGATTTAGCTTTTCAAGTGTCGTTAATTGTCATTAGTAACCTGGGAGAATGCACACCCAAAAAGCCATTTAGCGGGAAGCTGCACAGATGAGGGGTCTCGAGCTGCGTGGCTCCCTCACACTTGTCTTCGTGGTCCTTCAGCCATAGCTTCACTGTCTGCCAGCAGCCATGGGATAGCTCGTGGGTATCAGTCTCCCTGTCCAAAGCACTCGTGAAAAAGCCAGTCCCTTCAGATTTGAGAGGGGCTCTTTCGGAGAGGAGTCCGACTGGTTCGGAGAGCCCCTGGTTCTCCCGACATTGATGACTGCAAAGAAACTTCAGAGGTGGTTGGAGAAATCTCACTGAGCAGGGATAGTCTGGCACTTCAGGGTTAATTTCTGCTCTTAGCAAAATGACAAGAGCAATGCTAATGCGTAGGTGACAAACAAAGACATAAGATGAGCTCCCCAGCCCCTGTGTTTTAATCACTTCTAACAACTGGCTAAATGTTCTGTTAGCCTGCTAGATCAAATGTTTTCTTTTATTGTGCTGTTTTTCTGAAGATGAATATGAAATGAATAGACTCCTGACCTCCCCCAGCACTCCTGATAGTGCTTCCCTTCCCTCTCCTCCCCAGCTGATCCCGATAACTCCCAGCCAGAAACTCGCCTGGTGTAAACTGTGAGGAAAAGTGTGGAGGAGTCAGTCCTCGAGAAGAAATAAGGCTGTGAAAAACAGAACAGCTTTGTTTGAAAGGGGGGAGGAAAGTATGTGCAGAAAGTAAGACAGTTCAACTGCAGGAATGAGAGAAGAGCTCTCCTGGATTTATGAAGTGATGAGTGGCTGGTAAAAATGTGCATGCTCTAAAAACAATTAAACCCAACAGACGACTGAGTGGTCTTTGTGCTCATTAACTTCTTGAGCTTTGCAATCTTGCACCTGCAAGATTTTTAATGTCAACTGGAGAGCAAGAAAACTTGTACAACTTTAGATTAGCCGACAAGGCTTTCATCACTTACAATATTACTTTCTTGAAGAAGTGACCTGGAGTTCAGACAGCTTGTTTTCACTTTGCAGAGGTTGAACTCCACCATGCATTTTACAAATAACTTTGAAGTAAACAAACACACATGCCAAATTAAGGTATTATTCAGTGAAAAAGGTTCTATTTCTGTTCTATTCAGAGATGCTTCGCTGGCTGTGCTCTTGTGCTTTGTGCTGCACAATGCCAGAGCACGCTGAAGCTTCCCGAAACACTTCTGTCCCACTTCTGAGCACTTTTTAATATGTGGTTTCTTTGAAGCCGAGGGTATTGCTGTGAGATGTGTTCCTGAGAGGCCGTTCTGGTCCTGGGCGGGTGTGGGATGGTCTGGAGGTACCTGCAGACAACTGGCAGCCCTCCACACCCTCCCGCTCTGCTCCAGCCTGGTCCTTACCCTGTGGCTTGTTCATGGTGCACACATGGGGTATTTACTCCTGAAGAGGCTTGGCACCCCCTTCAGCAGGAACACCTGGTTCTGCACCCACAAAATCTCCATCAGGCAATTTCCCAGGAGACTTTTTGGAGACTTGCATTCCCTGTGCATCAGTGTGCCTTGTCCTACCCATCTCTGTCACTGGTTCTGGTGCAGATTCCTGGCTCCAGCAAACCTTCTCTACTGTCAAAGCAGGCTGGTGGTGAACTGAATCACCAAGAGATCTCTTTTTGCTATAAATATCTGTAACAGTCAAGTTTGTGGACTTCCCACCCCTAGTGCAACCATGTGGATTAGGCTCTGAGTAACATAGTCTAGTAGAAGGGATGGAATAAGATGATCTTTGAGATCCCTTCCAACCCAAACCATTCAGTGATTCTATGACTCTAAGTTTGTAACTGAGACATTTTCCTCCTTACTTCTACTTTAATTTAGTAATGCCAACAGACTTTGAGACAACAAAATTGACGACAATTTTTTTTAATTCTCTTGCAAGATGTTAAAATCTCTGAATACTTTGAAAAGCTTCTTGCCTTTACTGTACGGTCCTTGTGCTGCATTTGCTGACGTGTGGTCTCTGTCCTGCAGATTCAGTGAAGAGGGGATGGAGGTGATGGAGCGCTTGATCTACCTCTTTCGCAAATTTAACCAGCTGAAGGTCAGCAACGAGGAGTACGCGTGTATGAAAGCCATCAACTTCCTCAATCAGGGTGAGTCTGCAGAGAGGGACTCTCAAACAGCCTGAGCAGTCATTGCTTCCCTGCTGGGAAACGGGAGGAAGGGTCCAGGAGCCCCAAAGAGGCTCAAGCTCTGAACGCTCCGTGTGTATGAGCCCTCGTGCTCACTCACATCCTGTACCTGTTGGGTACCCACATGGAGAAACCTGGAATGGGATGAAGGTTTTTATTGCCTTTAATATAGGCAGTAGATGTGTGATCTGAAAGTAGTACTGCTTTAGGTAACTGTTTAGTTAACTGCCTAAACAATTCTTTAAAACCAGTTAATTTGCATGGCTTTTTTTCTGAAGTAAATGATGACTACTTGCATAACAACCTTCCAAAGATTCACAGCTGGAAAAGGTATTTGTTCATTTTTGTGTCTTAGAGGGTGAATTTGTAAAACCAGCCCTCCCGTTTTTAGAGCTTTTCTGACTCTCTGAAATATTTACCTCGAGGATATATCCTTAGGTCACTTAGCTGTGTTCCTGCTTTTTAGGTTCAGTGCCTAAATCTGACTCTGCACAGTGAAAGGTGATCACGGATGAAGTATTGATGTGCAGGCCATGAATTCAGCCTAGGAAAGGGCTGTAAATCTGCTGATTAGGCAGCACACTAAAGCTGGTAGTCCTGACTACGTCAAGACCCCGGGCATTTCAAAATCCATGCAGAGGCAAATGCTCAATAGATGGTGTTCGTCTGTAATTTTGGAAATAAATGTCCCCAAAGTATTTTGTACTGTGAAAGATAGTTGCAGTCTGTAAAAATGTGCTGCAGGCTCCCTCCTCCCCCACTCATTTCCAGCAGGAGATAGTGCTGACACTTCAATCTGTGCCGGGCTGAGGTTCCGGTTTGCTTCCCTGAGCAGTTTCCTGACACTGGATAATGCACTTCTCAAGCTGTCTCCATTGTTTTCCAAAATGTATTTTCATTAACTTCCTGTCTTCTTTTATTTTTAGTTGAAGTTTGCAATTTTTTTATGTGAAATACCTGAGACTTATTTTTAAAAGTCAGCTTTTGGGCAGTAGATGAATGCCTCTTCCGTCAGATGGTCCCACAGTTGCGAACCCGCTCCGAGGGCCCTCCCCAGGCCCCAGCAGGGTGCCCACACTGTTGGTCACAGTGCCAGTGGCCCTTCTTGCCTGTCTGTTTGTCCTTTGTGTATGTTGCCTGACACGGTCAACGCTAAATTTAAAAATAAGAGGTTTAACAAGTTTGTAAAGCACTTGTGACATAATTCATAAGCAGATGGGGAGAGATGTGGTGATACCTTGAATTATAGATCTGAGCACTGTCCTCAGCCAAGATGATACAGCTCAAACCGGCGTGTTTCTGCCTGAGGAGGTGTTACACTGATCTGCTGTGAGGACTGAACCCTGACACGTGGCCACGTTGTGCCAGGCAAGCATTTCAGGGTGCTGGAGCTGTCACCTCCGAGAGTGAGTGTTCACTGAGCTGCAGATGAGCAGCTTATGATATTAACTGTTCTCTTCCCCCTTTGTGGAGGGAAATCCTGTATCCAGACGTGCATGTAAAGAGCCATGATGCAGGTATGGCAGGAGGGGAGTTGGGAATTCTAGTGTTGGTAGAACTGGGTGCTGGAAGTCAGTCTCCAAAGCAGTGACCCAGCTCAGAGTGACAGAAATCAGTCTGTCCTCAGGACGAGGCAGTAAGTGCAAGGCTGCTGCTCTTCTGGGATATTTTTGTCGTGTTTTCATTGCTGTATTGTATTCTCTTGCAGACATCAGGGGGCTGACCAATGCATCCCAACTGGAGCAGCTGAATAAGCGGTACTGGTATGTTTGCCAGGACTTCACGGAGTACAAATACCCACACCAGCCAAACCGCTTCCCGGACCTAATGATGTGTTTGCCAGAGATCAGATACATTGCAGGTAACTTCTTGAGCTCTTCTCCCACCAGGATTGTGTGCAAGTTATGAAATATGCTTTTAAAAGAAAATGAATTTATAACAGTGAAATTCTTGTTGACTTTGGTGGATGATGTTTGTGTGGGACCTTTTCCTGTCAGAGCTTCTTGCCCACCTTTAAGGCATTGCCCCAAAGCTCACCCAGCCAGAGTGGCAACTGGCAAGGTGTCCTGGTGATGATGGTGGGCACAGGGTTCCTTCCTGCTCCAGGAAGATGTGCCTGGCTCTGACCTGACATCCTTTAAGTACTTTGGTCAGGTTCTCCTTTTCTTTCTTTCAATCCCAACTCAGAGACATTGTGTCTCAAAAGGGCGTCATCCTGGTTCGAGTAGTTATAAGAACTAGAAAGATCCCTGAAATGCTGCTGAATTAAGGAGAAGGTGATCAGAGCAGTGGGCAGACCTGCAGTATAACCCCCAGGTTTCCATTCGTCCAGACCTCGGAAATCTGCAGGTGAATTCTCAGCTGCAGTTGTCGCTAATTAGATCTCCAAGGTCTGGTGTTACTAAAACTGTTTGTTCCTGAATGTTATGGCAAAGGAGGGATACTTGCCTCCCCGTGTCAAGGCTCCATATGCTTTATCCTACTCCGTCATAACGAACTAGATAATAATCTCAGAGTAGCTCTCCTAATTTACTCATGGAGACCAACAAGGGGGTTTGAGGAGAGACGGGATTTAGTCCTTCCCACTTTCTATAAATACTACTCCATTGTGGACAAATCATTTTGATCTGACTTTGCCCATTTATTTTGCTTTCTATTCAGTAAATAATAAATCACGCTGTGTCCAAATGAATATCAAATGTCTAATGTAGCTGTAGGATGATTAACTGTTTCTCTGAGAGGTTCAAGGTAAAACCGTCTCCAGCACTGCTGGCTTAGGTGTCTCTGAAATCTGATTCAGGAGTGGCTGCTAATTCTGGTTTCTTTCTTACCAGGAAAAATGGTGAATGTCCCCCTGGAGCAGCTGCCTCTCCTTTTTAAGGCCGTTCTACATTCCTGCAAGACGAGCGTGAGCAAAGAGTGAGCCCAGCTGGCCCCGGCCGGTGCCTTACGCTGTGAGCTGGCTCGCCCCGGGAGAGGGGCAAAGGCCATCCAGGCAGGAGAAGGGGCAGGGGCGGCCCTGCCCTTGTAGCAAGAATCTTTTTTGTTTGTTTTTGTTTTTTTACTCTTTTTCCTATATATTTATTTCACGACAGAGTTGAATGTATGATCTTCAACACGATGCACATGGTTCTGTAGGAATGCAGCAGATGCATTCTCCAGCGGTTTACAGAATGTGAAGATGTTTAATGTTACAGTGTTTGTTAGGGTTAGTTCTTTTGTATTTGGGGCTGGGGACCGAGATGACTAAGACTACCTCAAGGAGAAGATGCTGTTCATGCACTGCTCTTTCCATGATTTGTATCCCAAAGCGTTTGTCACAGAGAGCAAACGGCCTCACCGTGTCGACAGAGCTGTTGGTACCCCAAAGGGACGACTTTGGAGAAGTGGGTGGTAGAGAAGTGCCAAGCTTTTTTCTTTAAGTTTAAAGAGGCAGGGAGTGGAGAAGAAGTAGAAGTCTGTCTGGGCAGTTGGTTTCTTTCCCCCTGGCAGTTTCTAGATGCAGGTTTCCCAGTGAGATGGCAGTGTCTGGAACTGTGACGGGCTTGCTGCCCCTGTATCCCTCTGAGGAGCTGCGGGCAGGGGTCTGCCCCAGCCCCTCCTGGCCTGCTGCCCTCTCACTATTCCCACAGCGTGTTCCAATTCCACTGAAATTTTGTTCCTGCAGTTCCTAGCAGGCTCCTGGCGTTACACAAAGGTGCTCTTGTTGCTAGAGAACTGCAAATACTTTCTCATCACTTCCTTAACATCCATTTTAGATTCACAAAAGCAGGAAAAACCTACTTAGAGAAGAGGCAGGATTGCCCCCTTTATTGTGTTCTTCTGAGATGGTACCTGACTCTTAAAGCTTCTGTAGTGCAGCAGTCCCCATTTCTGGGAGCAGTTAATGTTCCCTGTGGTTAAATGTGACCTGTGTAATGGGGTGAGGGACTCCAGTGTCGTCTGGCATGGCTTTCTCTGCTGGACTCAGGGAATGTGTGTTTCGTAGTTTCATCCTGCCAGGACTGTTCTGCTGCTTGTGGAATCTCAGGAAAAACAGCATTACTGCAGTCCTTGGTGGCCTGCTCTGTCCTAGATGTTGCGAGGCTTCGATTTTCTATCTCGCAAACTCCCCACCACTCCAGATGGAGAACTGGTTTGATGGCAACTGATTAGTTGATGGAGTGATTGCTGAGTGCTGGTGTTCAGCTTAACTTAGGCATTCTCATGAGTGATCTCATGGCTTCTGCTTGTGGTGGGGAAGTTGGATGACGTGCTCTTGTTCTCATCTCCTTCAGTAGGAGTTAATGTTCAAAGACTCAGTCACTCTCCTAGACAGTCCTGCCTAGATTTCCCTCCCTGTCTCCTTAGGTGTAGATCTGACATTTGCGTAGCAAGATGGTTCATCGACAAGTGTTTGAGTACTGATTTAAAACTATTTGGGGAAACGGCTTGTGATCCTTCAGGGTCGGAGGGACGAGTTGCTTCCTTTTTGGCTTGCCCTGATGACAGCGTGGCACGGGGCGAGCACAGCCCGGGGGGGCTGCAGCTGCCGTGGATGAACGTGGTGGGCAACAGGAGAAAAATCCCATTCACCAAAGTCGTCTTCCCCTCGCTCCCTCCCTCCCCCCTTCTCTCCCCCTGGCCCAGCGGGTGCTCCCTGGGTGCAGCCCTTGGGGCACGGTGACCGCTGGCTTGGCACGTCGTGGTCGGGCAGTGGCGGGGCCGGCGGCCGCGCTCACCCCGCGCCAGGCTGGGCACCCCCTTGGGCATCCTCCAGCTCGACGGTTTCCCTTTTCTCAAAGTCCATAGCTGCTCATTTGTCATTATTTAAACAGGATGTTACGGGTAACAGCTGCTGGGCCCAGCAGCAGCTCAGCTCGATGGAGCTTCACACCCAAAGGTGGTTCCGTAAATCTCATTTGCTTTGACAGTACAATGAGACACACGTGTATTCTCAGGAAAGCCTTCTGCATACAGCCTATACCTCATGTGTACAGGGGAAGATTGTAGTGTACCTGTTTGTAAGTTAGAAAGTATTTCTCAGCTTTTTAAGTTTAATTTCTGAATAGCTTGATATGATCTTTTTATTACGGGTTATTTCTGGCTTGCTGTTTTATACACTCAAGGAATTGTTAAAATTGCATAGGAGTAATTTTATTCTACAGTGAATTATAATCTGTTGATAAGTGTTTTAATTAGTGTACATAAAAACAGTCATCTTATTGCCAGCCATCCAACAAAATAATCTATTGGGTAATCTGTGGTTTTCCAAAGTAGCCTCCCAAAGCTAATGCTGTACCAACAACAACCAAAAACCTAAATTCAGTTAGGATGATGAACGGACATGACATTTCTGCTTTCTGTTGTAGAAAGCAAATTTTCCAAAGGTTGATTGGCAGCAGTATCCGTTCCCAAGTACTCATTTACTGTAGGGAGTAGAAAATCCTTCCTGAACTGACAGGTAAGGAAGCAGCAAACAGACCAGAATCACCGGACAGTCATTCCTGATGTCTTCTGCACCAAGTCCTCTAACGACTTGTATTTTTTAAACAGGGTAAAGTGAATGTGTTGCATTGCAAACTCAGGTATTATGAGACGGTAGGAGTGTAGCTAGAGACGTAGAGATGTTAGGTCAGTCACTAGATGTATTTGTGAATTTGGTTTGAAGGACACTCTGGAAAGGTTGGAATTTTTGTTCCATTCTTCACGTAACATTCGGTTTACAGGGGCTCATATTTTATTTGTGCTTAATGCTAGTAGGGGGAAGTTCATTATCTTAGGTACCTATCTGCTCTTGCTTATCTGACCTTCTGTCATAGAGGAATCAATCAACAATAATAGTCTTTGGTAGAATTTTCTGCCATGACAAGTCAATTTTTATCCCCGATTTGAAAGATAAATTGGCTGGCTGACCCCCTCCTCTCCTTCAAAGCGTCTGTGCAGATGGAAAGCCGAAGAGTTACTTTTAATCCGAGCAGAGATTTGGGACATAAATTTGAAGCTCTCGGGCTCACATTTGAGGAGGGTTGGTGCTGAGGGGTCCTCGCTGCAGCTGTGCAGTTTGAAGGTGTCCCCAGGCCAGGAGTGGAGCAGGAACTGCTGCCACCGGCTGATGGGGCGAGTGTGAGACCCTGGGGCCTCAACAAGAGCTTTTGGAAGGTGCCTGAGTTTTCTTCCACTTGAGCTCAGGCTCCTACCGGGTAGGGAGTCCTTGTCCTCAGCATGTCCAACCCTGCAGGAGGGCAGGGGATGAGGGGCATCCAGGTTGCTCAGAGGTGCTGGGTACCCCAAAACTGGTGGGCTCTGGGCATGGCAGAAGTGCTGCAGCAGGAGCTCACTCTGCACTGTGTTGCACGTGCATTAGGTACTGTTCAGCTGTGAATTGTACCAGTGGCTCATCTTTCTCCTCTGACGGGAGATCCTCTCAGTGGGATCACCAGCCAGTGCAGGTGAGCTGCTGCCCCAGTAACACCCGTGTTCCCAGTGCTGGGGTGTTGCTTTGAGAGCGAGGGGTCCCAGTGATGTGAACAGGGCTCCTGGACTGCTCTTGCTTGCCAGGATAGGCCTGGGTGGCTGTGCCACCACCCTGCAAAGGCTCAAGTGCCACTCGCTGCCGTCCCTCCTGTGCCACACGTGGCAGGATCTGCCCTGACTCTTCAAGCTTCTGCACAGACCCGCAGCCACCTCAGGTTCAGGAGTTTAAGTCTTGTCCTTCAAACCAACTTTTTTTAACAAAACTTGAATTTCTTTTACCTTTACTACATTTTTTAAAAGTTAAAAAAGGAAAAAAAAAAAAAAAGATTCTCCTGTGAATGTGCTATTTCCCACTCGTTCTTTCTTCCTTCTTAGTTTTGATTTGAAGCTATGAAGCTTGGTGTCTGTGAAAATGTTGTTATTTCTCAGGATAATAAGCGGCAATCATCCCTGCCACATGAAAGGCAGGAGAAAGGGGGAAACTTGGGGAACTAGTTTAAGTATGAAACTAATTTTTAAGTTGTAGATGATGTGTAAATGGAGGGAAATGCATAGGTGTCAGTGTCAAGCTGTGGCGTTTCTCTGGGTTCACGGTGTGTTGTTTCAATACACAGAAGCTCAGGGATAAGTATTTAAAATGTGACCCAGAGAAACCCCAGTTTTGATGTTGCAGCAGTTGCTTCTTTCATGACTTGTCTGAGAGCTGACCGAAGCCCCATGTGGGGGTTTTGGAGGAACAGCTTTAGGTTTGGCTGTGGGGTTTGCCTGCTGAAGGCTCAGGTGTGGTTCTATGGGCAAGCATCCCCAAGGTGTGTGGTGGTGCCAGCACATCAGCCCCTGGGTCTGAGGGAGGTTTGACTCTATTTCTGCATTACCTCATCCTTCTGCCTTTGGTGTTAAATGCGTTTGAGTGCTCGTGGAAAAGGGGAAACAAGAATTTCTCATTGTGCCCCTGGCAGCCAGTCCCAGGGCTTATGAATTACATCTTAATTTGCACCAGTACAACTTTCTCACCGTGGTCAGAAGGTTGTAGTCAAAGTCAGAGGGACTGGTGGATTACACCTGTTTGAGTGTCCGAACAGCCCGTCCAGCCACAGGCAGAGCCAGCGCTGAGCCAAAGTCATTGAAAGTTTGCAGGGCTGAAAGTCCCCTCCCAGCACCCTCAGCCACAATCTGTGCATTGGAGCTCAAATGGGCCCACAGAAAGATGGGGAGGCCAATCCAGGCAGTGTCTTCCCCTTGGAAAAAAACTTATAAATAGCTCCTGCGAGCTGCCTCTGACAAGTCCATGAAAGAAGCAACATGGTTCAGTGGAAGAGAAGCCTCCAAGGGCAAAAAGAAACAGAAATTGAAACCAGGTGACGATCAACCTTAACAAAGCCTTTTGTGATTCATTGTTTTCTTTCGATTTATAAAATGTCTTGTAATAGTTGATAACATTATTGACTCAATTTCCATAACTAAACTACCTCGTGTGACATCCTGTTTATCATCTCAAAGGGATTGTGTGAAAAACTAAACACTGCCAGTGTCTGTTGCCAGCGAGGAACAGGGGCTGTGATGGCTGAAACTGAGAGGTCATGGCTCTTGTTAGTTTGGTTTTTGTTG